CCACCCCCCCCCCAACCCAGGCACCATGGGGGGACTCTTCATGGATGGGGAGGAGGCCACAGCCCCTGAGGACCTCAGCAAGTGGACAGTGGACGATGTCTGCAGCTTTGTGGGGGGCCTTTCTGGCTGTGGAGAATATGCACCGGTGAGGGGGGGTGGGGGGACACCTTCCTGAGATGGTTCCGAGCGCCTCTCCCCGCCCCTCCCCATCTCCCCTCCTCAACAGTGTGTGGGGAGGAGGGGGATGCTGTTGCATGCTTCCCCCTGCCCTGTGCCGCATCAGTGCCTCTGCCTCCAACACTGGCACGTACACGCTCAACACACAGACCTTCCTTCCATTTGCAAGCTTTTCTGGCACACTGTGCCAGCAGCTTCCCTTGGCCCTGCTCTCGCTGGAAAGCCTTGGGGCAACCCCAGACACTCAGTATTTGGCGGGCTGGAGGGACTCAGCAGGGCGGGCGGGCACTGGTCCCAGCACTCAGGCCCGGACCTCTGCCCGTCCCCAGGTCTTCAGAGAACAGGGGATCGACGGGGAGACCTTGCCCCTGCTGACAGAGGAGCACCTCCTGACCACCATGGGGCTGAAGCTCGGGCCTGCTCTCAAGATCCGGGCCCAGGTGAGTGCCAGCTGGGGGCAGCAGTCTCCACACAATGGTGGGTCAGCACTGAGGCTCTTTGTGGCTGCAGGCCAGCAACCCAGAAGGCCCCCCCACCCAGGCCCATCTCTCCGCAGGTGGCCAAGCGCCTGGGCCGAGTCTTCTACATGGCCAGCTTCCCTGTGGCTTTGCCACTGCAGCCACCAACACTACGGGCCCCAGAGCGGGAGCTCACCTCTGGAGAGCAGGCCCTGTCCCCAGCATTGGCCCCTTCCCCCTATGGTGGGGGGCACCCCCCTGCTGGGAGAGCCTCGCCCAAGCAAGAGAATGGAACTGTGGCTCTACTCCCAGGGCCTGCAGACCCCTCCCAGCCTCTGTGCTAACCTGGTGGGTGGACCACCCTAATCCCTAAGCCCTTCGGTGCCAGCAGCTCTGATACAAAGGACCCACTCCACAGCTTCTCTTCCTTTTGGTTTTGGATGCAAAAACAAAGATTTTTTTAAAGGAAAACATGACATCAAAGGAAAAGAGTTTCTGAAACTTTCCGGGAGTAGAGTCAGGTGCAGACAGCCTGGGGACCCAAACCTGAGCCCAGGCACAGGGACTCTGCATCCTGGGTACCTGCAGACAAACCAAAGAATGACAGAGGAGGCGGAGAAGGCACATCATGCCACACTGGCCTTGGCCATGCCTGCTGGCTCTCTCTGGAACCGGGACAGTTCTCTGCGAGATTCTCAGCATCCTGCCATCGGGTGAGAGGTCAGGGCAGAGTCCCACTCCAGACCAGCTTCCCTCACGGGGCTGATGTATCTAACCCAGCAGTGCGGTATGCACTGTGGGCAGGCTCCACGGTGCTGGTTTCCATCCCCACAGCCGCCACTCCAGGGATCTGCACAGGGCTCGGTACTTTCTGGTCTTTCATGTTGCGAAAATAAAGCCCAGTCCACCATCTACTGCCCTCCCCCGCACCGCGCAGGCCCTGGCCTCGGGTCTCAGCACCGGCCAAGAAGACACAAGCCTGGCTGCCTGGTAAGGTGGGAACACTGCACGGCAGTCCCCGCAGGCCCCGCCCCAGGCCGGCAGCCCTCAATCCTCCTCAGAGAGCTGTAGCTCCTCCAACTCATCCTCTGGTCCCTGGGCCAGCCGCCACAGCTCCCCGAGGTGCAGCCCCACCTCTGTGTCTGGGTCTCCATCTGCAGGGAGAGACCGAGGCTACATAAGTTCTGCTTTATCAGGAAGAAGCCAGCCTTGGAGATTACTCATCACTAATTAATCACAGCCCTAATTAATTTATTGGTGCCACTGTTACTGGCTGCCAGAGCCAGCGGGAACGGAGCAGCTGGCGTGGCAACCTCAAGGAGGGGTGTGAGCCCAGCTTAGAGCCATTCTCCCACCCAATGGCCCCACCCACCCACCGACGAAGTGCCGCCCATGACAGCCTTGGGTTCCTGAACAGACAGGTTCAAAGGGCCACAGCACCACCCCTCACTCCCAGGAATCACTCACCCTTTGAATTGCTGATTTCCTCTTGGCTGCTAAGGCTGCCATCCTCCTCCTCCTTTTCCTCCTCTACCCTCTGCCAAGCTCTCGGGGACCCAGGCATCCCTGGGGACCAAGAAGAGCCCATGGGAGTAAGCCCACCAGCAAATACATACTGGGGACAGCTAATGTAGGAGTGTGGGCCAGGCTCAGAACCCCGTACCCACCCACCCTTCCCTCAGGCCCCCTTCGTACAGGTGGAAAGGATTCAGAAGTGTCCAGCCAATAGTACAGGTGAGGGAATAAGGTCTTGGGACACGTGTCCCAACTCTGGGAGGCCCTCACCTCAAAGCAAGTGAAGTGGTGGGAGAAGGCACACCGCAAACGTGAGCAGCCAGGGGGAAGCAGGCACCCCCTTCTGGTTCCACGAGATGTGTCAGGAAGCCTTCCAGGGCCACCTACCCCTTCCCCACAGGGAGCTCAGGCTCAGGAGCCCAGGCCCCTACCTCTCTCCGAGAAATCCATGGCACTGTCTTCCTCGTCACTGTCCAGATCAAAGAGGTCCTTAAATTCCACTCTGTCTTCATTCTTATTGCCTCCCACTTTCCGCCGCTTTATCTCTGGGAAGTTCAGGTCTTCCAGCTGGAAAGACCCAAAACCAGAGTAGTGAGGGTGGTCTGGTGGCCATGAGAGAACCCACCTGGCCCAATCCCCAACCCACCACGTCTCGGCCCCGGGCCCCACCCTCCACCTCAAGGCTTAGCTCACAGCCACAGCTGGGTCACATCATGCGTCATGCAGCAAGAGCCCTGACCGCAGCTACTGTCCCTCCCTCCCATTCCCAAAGACAGACTTTACCCAAACCCAGCATCCTATTCCCTTTTCCATTTCCCTTCAGGCCTTGCCTCCCAACCCGTCCCCCACACAGACTCTGCTTGGCCAACTTGGTAGACATCGCCGGGTAGGACGCCTGGACAGCCACCCTGCCAGGCAGGTGAGGGGGCCCCAGCCACGCACACTGGCCACTAAGTACCATCAAAAGCATAGTTACACCCACTGGCTGAAGGCCCAGCTACAGCCCCCCCCCCGCCCCCGCCACCTTTGTGTCTCCACGTCTTTAGCCATCACGTCATGGGATGGCAGACCCGTGATACCAGGACAGGGATACAGTCACAGGCATGCCACTCAGCACGAAACTGTCCCCTCAAGTCACACCATGCCACACCCACTGGCACAGCTCCTCCTGCCCCTCCCTGCCTGCCCTCCTGGTGTCCACAGGCTGGCCTGAGAAATAAGGTCAGTCTGGCCACTTATTCCCCCAAAATCCCCAGCCCAGTAAGGCCTGACAAGGCGTAAGGACCTCCTCCTGGAGGTCATGAGAGAAGCCCCCTGGTCACCCAGTAATGCATGATGTCTGCCCCTCCAGAGCAGCCCCAGGACGGGCTGCAGCTGGGAACAGGCCCCAACCGTCCTGGTGACATCGTCCCTGAGACTATTTCCTCCCACAAGCCCCCTTCCCCACTCTGGTCTTAAAGTCAGAGCCAGGGTGCTAGACCCTGGTCTCAGAACAAACCAGGTGGTCATGCCCACATCCCCGCTCCGAACCTCCTCTGCAGACATACCCGCTCTTTGCCACTGATCTCCAGCTGGATCTCTCGCTCTCTCAGCTTCCGCCACTGGCTATAGTACTTGGTGAGAGGTGTCCCCTCTTCTCGGGTCTGCTTCTCCCAGGTGTCCTATGGGGAGAGTTTCAGGATCATGTCCACCCTGGGGAAACCTCCAAACCCCAGCCCTACACTGACTAGTGCCCTCAGGCAGTGCTGCCCACCCCACCCACCCAGACACCAGCTCCCAACTGACCACTGCATGCTGGTCAGCCACACCGAAGGAGGCCCTCTGGCGGCGACTGCAGATATACTCAGCATTCTCCTGCACCTTCTCTAGCAGCTGGCGTAGCTGCCGACAGTAGTTGGCCACCTTGCATTCCCGGAGGAAGGATTTCAACTGCAAAAGGAAGGGGTGGGGCGGGGGGGGGGGGGGGGGGCGCGGTGCTCAGCCTAGGTCCAGGCACAGACCATGATCTGCCGGGATCACACATGACCACAGGGAGGTGATGGGGGAGCAGGAAACATGTGTCTCACAGCCCTAGGGCACACAGTTGGGGAATGGGGCAGTTACGTTGGTGTGGGGTGGGGGCCGCAGCGTGGTGCCGCATGACCCCTGTTGTCTGGGCCCTGTGGGGGCTGGAGAGCAGACGGCCCACCCTACGGGCCGGGCAGAGGAACAGGCAGCATGGATCTACCCTCCAGGTCACATCCCACCCTCAGCCTGTCTGTGTAAATAAAGCTGTATTGATACACATCCACACTCCTTCACTTAGGCATTTCTGTGGATTTTTTATACTTCAGAGAGGAGACCTGAGCAGTTGTGAGAAACCACATGACTGTAAAGCCTAAAATACCATTTAGCTCTCTCTGCCAGAACAGTTTGCTGACCGATGTTCTAGACCATGATTCTGGGACCTGGAGTCCAGAAATAAAGCCTTGCCTACACGGCCACATGTGTCTGGATGGGCCTCTGAACCAGGTGCAGTTCGGGTGCGGGCGGCCCACCCCTACTCACCAAGCCGGCCTACAGCTGGGGGAGCTGACTCTGCCCACCAGAATCAGGGACAGGACCTGGCCCTTCCCGTGAAAGGCCCCTGCCTCCTTGAGATGGCAAACACCTAGGCTGAGAGCAAGTGGACCTCTGACAGGCCCAGAAGGGACTTGTGAGAGAAAGGACTCCAACCCCACCCTTGTATCACCTGAAGGAAAACTGAGGCAGGGTTGGTGCTGAGGCTGACCGGGACTTCCTCCTGCCCCAAACCTGCATGCGGGACCATTTGGGAAAGTATACAGTCAGGAGACCAGCTTGACCCAGGGCTGGGGGGCCGGGTCCAGCCCGCTCCACCAGGACTACTCCTAGAAGAGAATTCTTGGTCGGTCTGGTCCCTGGGCTGTGACAGGCCTGGGGAGGAGCTAGCAAGTCCGAGGGTCCCCGTTAACTCGCCTGCGCCAACCCCACCCCTCAGGACTCCACACCCCTATGTTCGTGCTACCTATGATGAGGCAGCGCCAACATGAAACCCCGCAGCAGGTTAGGCTCTGCTACTGACCCTGTGTGGCTGTGACAAGGATGCCTCCTTCTGGCCCCTGTGTCAGTGGGAAGCTGAGCCCATGAAGACAGCCTAATCTGCTACGAAGCACGCCATCAAGGCATCTGGGAAAGGAAGAGGGAGCCGGACAGCTGGCACACACCTGCAGCACAGCGGGCAGCGCCAGTTCGGGGAAGGCAATGCTCTGGGCCTGGCTGTGCAGGTACTCCAGGGTGAGGTCGTACAGCTGCTCCACCAGACCATCCTGAGGCAGCGGAGAAGAAAGGAGAACTCAGCCCTCTTCACGCCTGCTTGCTATCAGGGTGGAAATCGGAGGATGTGCCTCCACAGCCTCCCCGGAAGCCACACTCTGGCTCAATATGGCTGAGGCCAAGGAGCACCACCTCCCCCGCAAGAGCCCCATGAAGGCCCACACAGACTGGAGGGCAGCAAGCCCCCTCCCGTCCACACTAATTGGACTCGTCACCCCGTACACTGACCTCGGTGCCCTAGAACATCCTGCCATGACCCCGCCCAAGGTATTTTCCCAAGCGTCTCCACAGGAGGCCTGGAGGCCAGCCTTACCCGGTACGCCTTCTCCTGTAGGTTGACCTTGGACAGCTTTAGGATCACAGTGAAGTTGATGGGCTTGGAGCTCATGCGCCCTGGCCTCTTATTGAAGTCGACCTGCTGGAAAACCTGTCCCCAAAGCCACTTCAGCTTGGCCTGCTGTGCCTCATGCCCCACTGTATCCCACCCCCCCCATCTGTACCCCAGATCCTTAGAGGCCCCAAAACCAGGGAGAGGTAGCCACATGCAGTGCCAGTCCTGTGGCCCCAGAGACCCCCTGCCTTCCAGAGCTCCGGGCTCCAAGGGCATCACTTCATTGCAGAGCGGGATTCTGGCCAATGGGGGCAGGACCAGAAGCACACCCGTGCACACTGCTACCGACCCTCTCCTAAAACCAGACCAAGAAGCCCTAAGAACCAGCGTCTGGAAACAAAAGAAAGGTCCTTTCTGTACAGGGTCACTGACACTGCAACATCCTCACCCATGACTGCATTCCCAAGGCCTGGTCCCAACCCCAAGGCTGCATCCTGGGAGTGATATGCCAATGGCCAGAGGGTCTCAGCAAGGGCCTGAGGAGCTCATAACCCCTCATCCTCCACAGAGACCACAGGCTGTGCCCATCGGCCTCTGCCTCTCAGGGAAGTCCTCCCCGTGTCCGAAGGCTGCAGGCTGTCCTGGGATAGTGGAGTGGGAGCCATGCCTGGCCCCTCCTCACCACCCTCGCGCAGGGGTGATCCAGGATGTTGTCCTGAGGGGGGTGGGTGGCCGATGCTGAAGACACCACAGAGCAGAGGATGATGCTTCACAGCTGAGCTCAGCACAGCTCCAGATAAAAAGCACCCATGACTGTGCTAATAACAGGTTTCCCTAGGGGAACACTGCCCTTTCTCTAGCCTGGCTCAGCCTGAGGTGGAGCAGGGGCTGCTCTCAGCACCCCTTCCCACCCACCCAGGGAGGCAAGGGCAAAAACGCCCTGGGGGCAAAGAGCTTTCCTTCTGCCTCTGTGACTTATTTTCTCTGGAAAGGACAGGCCTGCACCTGTGGATGTAAAAAGGACATGCCGGTCTATGGCATGCTGACACAGGGACCAATACAAGGGTTGTGCAAAAAGAAAACACGAAATCAGAAGAGAAACCCCAGGGGCTCCCTTCTCTCCCCTGCTTTGGTAAACCGGTGCAGACCACAGCTCTGGCCACATTGAGCCACTAATCCGGCCCATCCAGCAGGTGGCACTAAGGGCCTCTCTAGTAGGGAGATGTGAAGTCCTAAGTATAAGGTGGGGTGGGGCCTAACCCCCGGGGCATGCAAGCATGCACACAGATCCGCACAGACACGCACAGACACACGCATACACAAAGGAGCATGCAAAAAAAACGCAGCTCTGGAATCAGATCTAGGGTTCCAGCCCAGCTCTCCTGCCCACTGGAATAGACTCAAGCGTGTCCTAAAACCAGCACCCTCAGGCCAGCCCTGCAGAGCAGCTGTCCTTGTCCTCCCTGCCACTCGCCTGCCAACACACACCCCAGCTGGGGCAGGTAGCAAGGCGCTGCACAGAGCAATGTCCTCATAAAACCTCCTCTACAGATGAGAACACCAGCACTCAGGAGGGTTACACTGCATCTCGGGATAGGCGGTCTGTGCGCAGCAAGGAGCGCCTCCAAGCAGAGCACAGAGGCACTGTGTTGCCCCCTCCCACCCCAAGCGACAGGCACCCTCTCACCTCCAGTATGAAGGGCAGCACTGGGATGAAGGTGCCGGTGCTCTCCGAGAGCAGGGTCAGAGCACGCACGCAGTGCATGCGCAGGGGGTAGAAGCGGGCAGTGGGAACCAGCCTGGGGGCATGGAAAGGCAGGAGTGAGCAGAGGCCCTAGCCTCACCATCCCAGCCTGGCTCCCCATGACCTGTTTCCACCCATGGGGCTCGAACCTCAGGAAGGGCCCCTCTTGGTCACTTCTGTCAGGGTCAGTGGCCACACCTGCCCTATCTGATTCCTCCAAACAGAACAGGGCAGACCAAAAGTCCCCGACTAAAATCCGGGTCTTAAGGACCTGCCTCCTCACTCAATTATCGGGTGAGAGAACATCCCACGCGGCTTTTAACTTAATCTCACTTTAATGCAGGAGGAGAGCAGCGGGAGATGGTTCATTCAAAGCTTGCTTTCTTCCCAGCTCCCTGCTTTCAAGGCTCCTCCTTCAGGAGCACAGGGGCGACCCCTCCTGGCTAACAAAGGCAGCCACCTGGGCACACGCGGCTCCTCCATTCTCTGCCCCCAGAAACCAAAGCTCAATGGTTACAACTGAAATGTGGCGCGTTGTACTAGACCCGCTACCCAAGAACCCCATGGTAAGACAGACACCCAAACTCCCTTCAAACCGCACATAGTCCCTTCTACCCAGCATCTCCCAGAATGCATGAATCTGGGGCATTCTCCCATGCTGGCCTCTGGGCCACAGATGGCGCCACCCCGGGTCCTTCCACAGGTGCTGCCAAGTAACAGACCCCAGGGCCCAGGGATGGCTCATACCCTTGGAGAACTAGCTCCTCCTGACCCTCCAGGATGCCTCCCTGTGTAACCCTCTCCTCTAAACCAGCCTCCCATGACCTTGTCCAAAGACAGTCTGTACAACCCTGACCCCGTAACAGCCCACATAACCCTGGCCCTGACCTCCTTTGGCCCTCAGGGTGGCCCCGCCCATCCGTGACTCACTTGATGCAGCCAATCACCACTTGCGAGAGGGGGTAGATCAAGGGCTGCAGGGCTTCGCTGGGGTACACAGTGCTGAGGGCACGACACCACAGGTAGAGACAGTGCACGAACTGCCAGTTGTACACTGACTGGTAGGTCTCCTGGGCACAGAGTGAAGTCCGTTTCCAAGTCAGCCCAGGGGTCCCAGAAGGATCCAGCCCTCCCTCACCCACGGTGTGCACGGGGTCCCAGCCAGCAGCAGCGGCGACCACCTACCCCACCCCCTCCCCTGACCCACCCTCAGAGCTGCCCGCACCCTCCACCTGTTCCCCAAGCCCCCACCGGCAAGGGCCCTGAGCCCTCCAAGGCATTGGGTTGTCTCTCCCCAGGGCTACACAGGAATACGGAGGCTTCCAGGAGGTCCCAGCCCCTCAGCCGTGGAGCCCTAAGTATACGGTGGGGTGGGGCCCGACCCCGGGCATGCCAACCCCCACCCCATAAGCCCAACCACGCACTTTCTTGCGTGTGGTCATGGCATTGCGCAGGTGGATGGCGAGCTGGCGAATGTAGAGGAAGGCATGCTGGTAGGCGATGCCAGTGTCCAGGGCAAGCAACTCGGTCAGGGTCCGCTGCATGAAGTTGATGAAGGGCAGGGTGCCGGGGGAGGTAAACTTGCAGTTCCTCACGTAGGTGATGTACATTTGCTGCCAGAAAGATCCCAGTCAGGGCCACCCGAGCTGCCAGGGCACCCGCTACCCAGCTCCAAGCCGCTGCCAGACACCTGGGCCTTTCCTCAGTGGGAGCCACGGCTGGCCACGTCTGCTGCAGACCCCTCCCCCTACGTGGCACTTGCTCCTTGGGCCCTCTGCTGCTCAGCTGCCACACACGTATACCCACACAAAGTCTGCCGCGCACGGAACAGGAGACTTATAGGGAGGGTGCGGTGCCAAGGAAAACGCAGCGCGAATAACTGCAGGAAGAGGCAAGGAGACCACGGAGGGACTGGGAAGGAGGGGCTAGAAAAGCTGCAGCTATAGGCCAGGCCCACGCAGGGGTTTCTAGAGGGTCACTGTGTGGGACACATCACCCCAGGCATGCAGCCAAGCAGCAGGGTCCCTGTCCCTCTCCACACCTGATGTCCTCATCTGCTGAGGGGAGAGCTGTGTAGAGCAGTCTATGTGGAGCCCCAGAGGACCAAGAGCTCCCATCCCTGTCACTGTCCCCCACTTCCTAGGGAGAGAACTGCAGTGATGGCCTGGGTCAGCCCAGAGCCACAGCCTCAGCAAGAGGAGCTGACCACAAAGGCAGCCGCCCAGACCTCAGACCAAGACTTTCAACCCAGACTCTAATGGACACAGACTGGGGGGCATCGGAGGCAGGAGCCAGGGGTCCACACTACCTTGAGGATAGGACTCAGGAAGACAGCCTTCTTGTGCCGACAGACCCTGACGAGGACCAGGAACGCCAGTACGCGCAACGTCTCTTCACCTGTGCCCCACAGAATCACCATCCTCTGCAGAAGGAGAGACGTCACTGCCTGCCCCAGCCTCCCCAAGCCCAGCCAGAGGCCCCTGTGGCCACTGCTAGGAGACAGCCCTTCCCAAAGCACCTCAGGATAGAGCTACGGTTACACCTCAGTGAAAAAGTAACAAAAACGTGAAAGGTAACACGAGGCTCCCCAAGAAGGCTGTACCACAGAAACACAGCTTTGGTGTTAGGCACGTATGCAGAAAGGCACGTTAGGGGGCACCTGGGTGGCTCAGTCAGTTAAGCAGAAAGGCACGTTAGAAGACAAGAAAAGCTCGTCTTGCTACAGCTCTTGTCAGAAAGCGGCTGCCTCACACGACGGGCCTGCGGCACCAAGGGCAGAGAGCTGACAGAATCCCAGCAGGGCGTAGGGTGGGGGGCGGGCGCAGATGCCACCCCCACTCTGGCTGGGAGCGGGGCACGCTGGAGGGGTGGCCACGCGCGCCTCCGATCACAGTGCCAAAGGGAGACAGCCGGGTACCTTGAGTAGCATGCGGCACTGCTTGGGAAAGGTCAAGTAGTACGGCACGGAACTGCTGACATGCTGGAGCACGGCCGCCGCTGCTGTCGCCTCCGTCACGCAGGCCACCAGCTGGGGAAGCAGGAGGGTCAGCGAGGCCCCAAACCCACTCACGTCTGGGACACGAGGAAGGACTACACCACTGGCTTCAGCCAGGCCTCGCGGGACACAGGAGGCCCCCTCCCCGCTGGAACTGCACCTGTACGACTGAGCTCAGGTAGACCTTGACGTCCAGCCGGAGCTTCCCCCACAGCGGGCTACTGGACGGCTGCAGCACCCTGCAGAGAGACCAAGCCCACCCCATCTTGAGCGAACCCCCCCGCACCACACACCTCCCCCCAAAGCCCCCCACCCTTCACGGGGACTGCTCTCCCAGTGCAGCGGCCCCCTTCGCACAAGAGTCTGTGCCTGGCCGATGCCAGCACCACTCACGACACGTGTGTTTGCTGCCCACTCGCTCAACGGCTATCCCCTCCACCATCACCTGTCAGCTTCCTCGATGAGGCCCCTACCTACAGATACACACACCATCCCCAGAGCAAACAGCAGAAGAGTGGATGAAATATTCACTTGAGGAGGAAAAAAAGAGTGAAAAGGGGAGAATCCTGACCTAAGGAACTAGTGGTGCAAAGCCAAGCACACACTCTGGGCCCCCCGAGGAACTGTGGGCAGAGAACGTACCTTTTCAGAAGGAAAACAGAAAGGAGGAAGGACAAAGCCACCCAACCGGCCCCACCCAGCCTCTCCCCGGAGCCCGGCAAAGGGCCTGGTTCCGTCTTCGGCATCCCTCTGTGCTGCTTGGGTCGAGAGGGGGACTGCCAGATCACAAGGCCTCTGCCTTCCCCAGTGCGGGGTCCTGACCACACCCCCCTACCTCCCCTCTTCCCTTTCACCTGCTGTTGTCCTTGGGGGCTTTCCCAAACAGTAGCTTCTGGAGACAACCAAAAAGATCTCTAACGCAGAAGGTGACCAGGGCGTTGAACACTGCAATGAGGGGACCACAGATACCACTCACAGGACAGAAGACAGAACAGAGACGCTGCATCCCAGGTCCCCTCACCCCAGCTCACCAGCACTGTCCGTGACCTGGAATTTGCTGACTTCAGCACCTTCCTGGTCTCCTTGGGTGGTGACCACAGCAGCTCGGAATGCCTGCACAACTTCATGGAACAGCTTCGGAGTAAGGTGTTGCTAAATTAGGGATAAGAGGACCCAGAACGTTGGGGAAGCGGTCAGCTGTGTTGGACAGAGCAATAGGCAACCAGAGCTCCAGAAACCTGCTGTGACAGAAAGGTACCCCTCGCCCACATTCTGAGACACGGAGCAGAGGTGGAGGCAGTGTTGCTGAGCCGCGTGCAGGGAAAAACAACAAAAAACCAGAGTCCAGAATCTTCCTGGAAGGGCAGGGAGCCTGGCTCAGGGGAGAGGCTGAAGGTCCCGGATCTGGATGGTGGCACCAGGTGGCTTCTAGGGTTCTCCCTTCTGTCCTTTCCTATCTCTGCAGAAACCAACGTAAAACCCTTGGAGGAAGGGCTCTAGCTCCTGACAAAGGCAGAGACTATGTCCTAACCCACAACAGACTTCAGGGAACAGGGAGCCCGAGAGAGACACTGAGTGGAAGAGAGCAGAAAGAGCCCCTAGAATCTCTGACCGAAGGGGAGAATGCAATCCTGGAGCCTCTTAGCATAAAGGCAGAACCATGCGACATCCTTCACATGAGGGTCTGGTGCAGAAGAGGACCCCAGTGTGGGTGCTCAGAGAAGGGGCTCCTCCCGTCTGCCACAGACCCAGGTAACTAAAATGAGTCAAGGGCAGACTCCTAAAGGGGTGGGGGGTGTCCAGCTGCCCACACCATGCCACTTCTCACCATTGCTGCCTGCTTCCACCTCTCAACCATGGCTAGGGTCACAGGAGCAGAATCCCTTTTCTTCCCCTTCAGTCCTCTGGGGACCTCATCCTCATCCGAATCTTCCTCCTCCCCACTTGCTTCCTGCACCAGACACAGAGGACCAGGCTGGAGCAGGATGCAGAGGCCCTAAGTGTGCCCCTGCCCCCACCAGCTCTGCCTAAGCCCTCACTTCCAACGTGTCGGGCAGAGTGTGCAGCTGCTCCTCCTCGTCCTCGGTGCTGTCCGAATCACTGAAGTTCAACAAGCTCTGGTCATTCTCCTGCAGGAACTTGTAGAACTCCGGGTCTTTGTCCTTCAGCCGAGAGAGCTGGTCCTTATGCTCAGACGCACGACCTTTACGCCGACTGAGAAGGCAGGGGTCGTCAAGTCCACAGGACAGGCATAGCCCACAGGACTGGGGAGTAGGGGACGTGGGGTAAGGCTTCCTGTCCTCCACACTGTAAGCTCGCCAGCCTCCACAGGGAAACTACAGGGCTTGATCTGCTCTCTCCACAATAGCTACCCACAACCAAGGTAGGGGATTTCCAGCAGTAAGTTTTCAGCAGATTTCTCTCTCCCCCAAACTCCACACTCGCACAGCCAACTGCCTCAACACCTGCCATTTCAAACCCACATACAACACTGAACTTGTGGTTTCCCCCAAACTTGCTCTGCCAGCACTCTGCTCCACCTCAGTTGTGGGTAACTCTACCTTTACAGGCACTCAGGTGAAAGACAACCTCTGTCTCTCATACCCAGCATGCAATGTGCCATGAGACCTAATTAGCAAAAGCCCTTCAGAGCCTCTCATGCCTCCTAGTTAAACCAGCACCATCTCGGGGCGCCTGGGTGGCTTGGTCGGTTAAGCGTCCGACTCCGGCTCAGGTCATGATCTCACGGTCCGTGAGTTCGAGCCCCGTGTCAGGCTCTGTGCTGACCGCTCAGAGCCTGAAGCCTGTTTCAGATTCTGTGTCTCCCTCTCTCTCTGCCCCTCCCCTGTTCATGCTCTGTCTCTCTCTGTCTCAAAAATAAATAAACGTTAAAAAAAAAAAATTAAAAAAAAAAAAAAAACCAACACCATCTCTCAATTCTCCCAATTACCACAGTGGTCTCTCCCTATCTCCACACCCACCACCTCCAACCTACTCTCAACACAGCAACCCAAGTGACTCTTGAATTGCATGTCACAGGACGTGACTTCACAGCTCAAAACCCTGAGATGACTTCCCATTTTAGCGCACGTCTTATAAACTGTCTACAAAATCTGACCCCGTTATCATCTCTCCTGGTTCACCTCCTACTACTCTCCCCCTCGCTCCTGCATACACACTCACCTCTGTGTCAGACCCCCTCCCACTTCAGGAGCTCGGCTGTTCCTGCTGCATGAAATACCAAAGCATTCTTCCCGCCTGCGTGGCTTACTCCCCCAAGTCTCTGTCCAACTACCACCTCTTCAAAGGGCCTTCTCCACTAAACACAGCAACAGCTGGTGCCCAACACGCTCCCCATTTCTCTACCCCTTCTATTTTTCCTGTTTGCCGCACTCATTTCTTCTCACAAACCACACGTCGTGAATCACCCGAGACTGAGCGAGCTCCTCTACACCAGAAAAGGGCCTATTATTCACCAATGTACGTTTGTCACAGAACAGAACCTCAGCAAACACGGGAAGAAAGAATGGGTGAGGCGAAGGGTCTGGGGAAGGGGTCAGCGATCCTCAGGCCCCAGGACTGGTCAGCATACACGTGACGGGTGGGCCAGGACGGTGAAGAGCGTCTGGCTTTACAGACGTCCCGCGGGAAACGCTCCCCTCACCTGGACGAGGGCCTTCCGCCTGGCTTATCCACACTCCGGTCGGCTTCACACGCCGCCCACGTCTCCGCTTCTGGGGCTCCTTCGGAATCCGATTCAGACTCAGAATCAAAGCCCGAAGCCAAGAACTCGTCCACCGTCAGCTCCGCCAGCCGCCTGCGGGTTACGACAGCTGGATCAGGACTCCCTGCCAGGCCGGTCTGCCCCAGCCTTGCTGCACCAGGAACGCGTTTAAGCTCAAGGAGAGCCCCTGTGAATATAAGGGTCCCCTGGAAAGCCGAATCGATCCTCAGAGCCTCAACTTACCGCTTGGTGCCCCGCACCACCGCCATTACTGCCAAACCTCAGCGTGCGCCCGACTTCCGGCTCCAGAATGCCGTGCGTTAGCCGCACTTCCTCCAGGAGGGCCCCGCCCCCAATACCGCCCCTCCGCGCCCCACCGGTGGCTCTAAGTTTCTCCAGCGGTGGCTCCGGAGGCATCCAGGCGGAAGGGCGCATTCACATCCTCCTGGCTCCGGGCTCCCACGGTGGCCGGCGGAATTGGGGCTAATGGCGCAGGCCTGGTTCAGTCATGGGTCCCGCACACATCACTGAGTGAGGGGCTGTAGCTCTCGAAAATCGGGCAGAACTGCATATGATAGAATCCTGACCTGCTGCTCACAAATCTGTGTCCTTCCTGGTTCTAAGAGACAGTAATAGCGGTACCTGTCTGAGGGACTAGAGGCCGGGACCTGGGGCAACCTCTCCCAGCCCTGCCCGCAGCCTCCCTAGAGCTCCATGGCACGTGCCTGTGAGATGTCAACGCACTGACAGTGGACAAAATGCATCCAGATGGGAACACTTGACAGAGAGGACTTCTATGCAACAAGCTTTTACAAATCAATAATAAAAAGCCAACAACCTAGTAGGAAAAACGGTCTAGTTGAAAAGGCAATGCCTTGGATGGGCAGTTCGCCAAAAAAAA